CTGTAGGCCTTCATGTTCTGGGGCAATTTTTCCTAAATCAGCAAAAATGTATGAGGATTTTTTTAACAATCAGACTTCCAATTTTGCAATGACTGATCTATCCCCTCTGTGTGCTCAGTAGTTGTGAAATCATTACTAAAACTCAAATATGATTTAAAGTTAAGTAAGTAAGGGCTATTAATTATCAGATAAAAAAATATAACAATGTACATATGTAGTTGAAATTTCTGTGTAAATCATGGGCTTAAGAACTATTTGATTGTTGTTGTTTTTTATGATATAACTGGCACCAGAAAAAAAAATCAACCGATTAAGCATTGAGTTATATGTGTCAGAGATCAGTCAGCTAATCTCCTTTAAATAAAAAATGTGGCTATTGAGCAACAAGGAAATGCCATTTTAAAGATGGCTTTCATAAAACAATCAAAAATTCTGCAGTTGACGCACAAAATATAGCCAAAACATAAATGGCTATATCACATTATTGCACAATTTTTTTAAACATTTTTTTGTTTTTGGAATTTTTTCTCAAGTATTCAGCAGAAATATTGAAATTTTACCATATAAACAATATATTGTATATTTGAGCAGTCCATGTACATATCCATTTGGATCCTTGGAGTAAAATCATCTTCACTGTGCATGTGTGCAACATCAGTGTGACAAAGCAAAGGCACAGAAATCCATCAATGAAAAGCATGTCTGTTAATCCTGACCAAAATTAATATAGCTTTGTGAGTCCTATAACAAACAATTTGGAATATGTACAATTTAGGGAATTTTTTTAAAATTCAAAATCTTAGCCAGTCTTTAATGTTGCTAGTAGATCAGTCAAAACTAGGCTCAGTAATGTTTGTTGCCCTCCGGCACAGAAATTATAAGGGCAAGGGGCCTTTGGCATTTCTTACACTGATTTATTATTTTGAAAAAAGGTACAGGAGCGCATGGGAAAGTGCAGCAAGTATTTCTATCATATTCTGCTTAATTTTAAACAGCTAAAGAGAATTAAATTAGAAATTGAACTTTATTGATCTCACAATGGAGAAATTAACTCATCAATTTAACCCATCCCCTCGAGAAGCAGTGGGCTGCCCCTGTGCAGCGCCCTATGAGCGGTGTGGGGTTAAGGGTCTTGCTCAGAGACCCAAAATGTAGGCTGTGGGGATCAAACCAGGTACTTGCAACCTTCTCAGAGCACAAGCTTAGCCTAGTGTTGACCTAGTGGCCTAGTCTGGGCCTAGTGGCTAGAGCACAATGCTCTAACTTCTGCTTTCTGTTGTTAAAACCGCCTTATGTTACCTCTAGGCGTGAGAGGGCTTACATTAAAAGAAAAAGATCAGTCATAAAGGATGAGAACAGAGAAATGGAACAGAGAAGTGGTCACCACTTGCAATGCAAAACCATTTTTATGCTAACTGTCCCACATTTCTGCAGTGCTGCATCGTAACTAGACAGATACATTTTAAAGAAGTGTGATTGACTTAGTTAAAAGCTGTTGTTTAGGTGTTCTCTGTTGACATAATATTCCAGTATGCTCAAACAGCAAAAATGATATCCATAACTCCATTATAACACATTTAATTGCTATATCATATAATGTAAATACATAAAATCTGGTTTTGTTTATTTGCTCAAACAACAAATACAGTCTAACTTTGTCCTTGGTGTTGGAAGCATTATATTTTGCAGCACTGTTTCATCAGCAGCAGTTTTAGCAGAACCAAGAGATGTTTTCTTTGTTTAATTTCTTTTTTTATGATATTTTAAAAAATATCCCAGCTATTTCACAACCAGGGTTTGACTCTCCTTCATTTCTCTTTTAAGATTTCTGATTACTTTGCTATCAAAACCTCACATCTTTTGAGCAAATGCCGACATAATTTATTTTCTTAAATCCTTGTTCTAATTTTTATTTTCATATTTTTGTCTCACTGACTGAGATTCTTGCCAATGACTTACAAGAATTTGTCAAAATCTTGTTTAAAACACCGTTGCTGGGTTTTTTTTGTGTTCAGTTAGAATGCACGTCTTATGTTTGTGGAACAGCACAGAGTGCTTCATAGGTTTAATAAACAGAACTCAAATTAATTAATAAGCTTTATGTGACACTTTCTAAGAGCTTGTTTCTGGACCAGGACTTTGCTGTAAGTAAATATATTTTCTTCTTTTAAGTATTTCAACTTTATCTTGCGCAAGATAGAACCAACTTGATCTAAAGCATAAGGGTTTCAAAATGGTAATAAATTGAGACTTTAGAAACAACATATAAAGATGTCGAACTCTGCTCTCGAGAGCAAGTTGATTGGTAACCCCACATCCTGCTCTGCTTTTTCTTGTCTGCTGTCATGATTCATGCAGGGCAGGCTGCCTGCACGCTGCACTGCAGCAAAGAGAAAGAACCTTTAAACTTCAAATCCAGATTGCAACTCAAATGCACAGGTTTAGGGCTGTTACTAATCTCGCTCAAGGTTACAAAATAATTTATAAAACAATTTTTATAAAACTGACCTGGTGCTTTTTGAAATCTCTCCCCCTCTCTGCTCCTCATGTCTCTGCACCGCTTTCTTCTTTGTACCAATATTTATTTGTGTAGCACTTTTCACAGATAAAAATCACAAAGTGCTACACAGTAAAAATGTAATACAATAATACAATGTAGAATACAATATATATCAATATCTTAAAAACAAATGAAAACATACTAACAAAGCCATAAAACCACACTTCTAATTAAAAGCCTGCTTAAATAGCATCTTCAGTTGCTTTTTAAAAGAATCAACAAAATTCATTCAGCGTAAAGAAGGATGCAAAGCATTCCACAGCCTCGGAGCCACTGCCTGAAATGAACAATCCCCTCTGGTTTTAAAACAAACTCTAAAAGTAAGAACAAGGATTTTAAATTGGATTTTATACTGGAATGGTGACCAGTTCAGAGTTGCTAATAGTAATGGTGTAATGCGTTTTCTTTTGTTAATTTGAGTTAAAAGCCTTGCATCAGAGTTCTGGACAACCGGGAGACAGTAAAGCTCCTTCTGCTCAAACAAGTAAAAAGACTGTTGAGGAGATAAAAGCATGAATTATCATTTCCAACTCATCCTTTCACACCAGTGGTCTTGATTTGGAAATATCCCTGAGTTGGAAATAACAGTTCCTAACTAATTGTTTAGTTAGTTTTGTGGTTTTCTAAGGACATCGCTGAATCAAACACCAACACCTAAGTCAGCAATATGGGATTTTGCTTTCAGGTTAGATAATTAGTTTTCAGTTTTCTAAGAGTTTAGAAGTAGGAAATTGTTACATAACCACTGTTTAATGCTGGTCAGGCAGTTATTTAAGGAAGACACTATTTAATTCAGTGGAACTAAATGACTGAATTATATGAATTTTATTTACTTGTTTGTTTTCTTTAAAAGCTAATACTCTTAAAATTCCTACAAGCTTTCCTCTCCAGCTATCTTTGCACCCTTGCAATCTCTGCACTGCTTTAACAGACCAAAAAAAAAGGCAATTGGAGGGATTCTGAATCTCCTACAGCTGGATGATATGCAAATTGGGAGATTAAGTCGTCTAGCGCTGTCTAGTGCAGCCAATAACAACTTTTCATGCTGGGGAGTTGGCAACACAGGCAAAGAGACAAGCAGAGAAGAGAAGCTATTGAAGAAAAATTCAATTTACCACAGATTTCTGAAGCAGCCTACAAGTTTGCAGAGTTCTTGTTCTCTGCACATCCCATACCGCTGAGTTCTTTCTATATTGTGGCATTTTGAATCATTGTCATGTCCATCCAGCGCCATTGCAGCCACGCAAAATTCTGCAGATAACTTTTTGGACAGCTCACTGACAGCACTAGAGGGTTACTTCGCAGATATCAAAAAATATAGTTTTGACTCGTCAAAATTAACTTTGAAATACCTTGATTATAATTGCGGCTGATGCCATTTGAGATATCTCAAAAGGAATTTTCACTCTCCAAAATGTGATTGAAGATATCTTGAAATGTTAATTTCCCTAGTCATAATATAATTTCAGATTTCTTAAAGCATCATAAAGGGTAGTCAAAATGTAGTAAATAATGTTTGTCTATTTCATTAAAATTTCTGTATCTGTATAATGGGTCTGTTTTGTGTGTTGTCATATCAATTCAGAGGGCCCCATGCCTGTATTTGCCTAGGGCCACAAATTTACTAAATCTGCCCCTGTTTGCTTGTGTTACTGCCAATGGTGCTTGGTTCATATTATTGCATCATGATTGCCTCATATGAAATTCTCAGAAATGTCTTCTTACTGTACATCTTAACCCTTTGATGCTTAAAGATGAGTGTAGGATAGAGTTGGATGGGAGATCGGTTCAGTTAACACGTTTAAGGTCAGGTTTTAAAGTGATATTGGTGTATTCCACTAAACTGCAGACTGAGCATTTGGTGGCAGAAAGGTTGAGTAATATCTGGTTCCTGTTGCAAAACATTATCATCTGTCCAATTGTAGAGCAAGAGCGACAGGAAAGGCTAAAATCTACCACTGATTTCAGAGAAATGCATGATAAAAATCTTTTTAAAGTCAAAGGCAGATACCAAGGGGAATACTAAGGTGTTTGCCAAAGTGTGTATTAGGGTGCTGATATTTTAAGAACATTTATTCTAAGCTTCTGCCCCATTGCTTTTTTGTGAGCAGTTACGTTGCACTTGCATATGGAACAAAGGTGTCCACCTTGTCTCTCTTTCTGTGTCCTCTAATCTGAAACGTTATGCTGTTAAGACATATTCACCGATTCCTCAAACCTTTTTCCTTAATTGCAAGTCATATTAAGGTTCAGATGTTTAATAAGCTTTGATATATTTTGTTTCCCCCAGATAACCCACTTAAACTTTTAAAAACTAAAATATTCAATGCTACAACGATTTAACTGATGACAAGGTTAAGTGTGCAACAGGATATTGTTCATGACTTTTGGGTGTGCCTAACTGTGTTGGTGGCTTAGTGTGGGTGTTGGCATTTTCAACCCCAGATAAAATATTATTGACCGTTATGTCTGTTACTATTATAACTTAGCCACTTATTTACGCATATCAAACTACAAAGGTTTACAGCAAAGGTATGTTGCCCAGTTATTGAATCTCAAACTTAAATAGTTTCCTTTATAAGTACTATTAATTTACCCATATATTCATGACAAATACTCTGATTGATATGAAGATATGTTTCTAACACTATTCATACAAAGTTAGACTATGTTTTTTAATGTGTTTTTTTTGTTTGCTTGCTTTTTTTAGGGAAAATGTTAAGTTTGCTCTTGCTTCTGTTTCACTATATGCAATGTAGGGTTCTGAGTTGAATTTTACAGCAATCATTAATGATCTGATCTTAAAATTTTCATCTCAGCTAGAAGAACTTGACGGAACAAAAACTGTTTAATCCAAATAAAGATAGATTTTTCCTTATTTTCTCTTAATATCTAAACTGGCCCAATTCCATCATCTACACAGCTATAAATTATGAAAATTATAAAATATGAAAATAAGCTCTGAAAAACACTGAAAAACACAAATTTACCATCCAGATACCAGGTTTACTTCTGGTATCTCAGTGGGTTTCCTTTTTTCCTTTTGTGACTTTTTTCCCGAATATCGATGCTTGCAGTCTTTACAAACAAATGTAATCAAATAACATTTCAGTTTATATAGCTTTTGTTGATCTGGTTCTACCATCTTTTGGGAATACACGCTTTGACTGTTGTTTGCATTTAGCAATGTTAATAACATTAATTAAACGGAAAAACTAAAGCCAGTTTACAATTTAAATTGATTAATTGTGACTTTCTTTTAAATGAGTGAAATAATTATTTGCATGCTTTTCTGCTATGGTTTTAAAGGGTAATCCATATCATCAAAGGCAGGTCAGAGGTTTCTCAAACCCAGATTTTGGAAACCAAGCCAGAAAGCTCATTTTACATATTATTTCACCCCAGCTTCTATTGTTAAGATGATGCATATTAAACAGTGAAGTTTTCACAATTTTCAGGAGTAGTTAATCCTCCTTGCAAATGTTGGTGTTCACTGTGTCCTCCTGTTGTCCTGCAGGTATAAAGAAAGACAGCCATGGAGACAAACTCGTCATTCCATCACATTAACTCCACCGTAAAACCAGTCTCCTCCTCAAACTACTATGCAAATCTGAGATATTCTCTACACATCATGTCTCTTTGTGTTTATGGTGTGGCCTGTGTCCTGGGCGTGCTGGGGAATGGAATGGTTATCTGGGTGACGGGCTTCGGGATGAAGAGAACTGTTAACACTGTTTGGTTTCTTAACCTGGCCGTGGCTGACTTCCTCTTCACAGCCTTCCTACCGCTGGGCATCACATACCAGGCTTTACATTTCAACTGGATTTTTGGGAGGTTCATGTGCAAGCTGAACAGCACAGTGAACTTCCTGAACTTGTACGCCAGCGTCTACACCCTTGTGGTGATCAGTGTGGACAGGTTTGTGTCTGTAGTGTGGCCCATCTGGGCTCAGGTCCATCGGACGGTGAGGAAGGCCTCCTATGTGAGTCTGTGTGTTTGGGCATTGGCTTTATGCCTCAGCCTCCCGGCTTTTGTCTTTAGAGACACTGAAGTCTTCAATAACAACAGCGTCTGTTACAATAATTATGCGCTCTCTAAAAATTACACTATTCCATCTGTGGTACAGTTAGCCCATTTTCGCCATCGAAATATGACCATCACCCGATTTCTCATGGGCTTCGCCGTCCCTTTTGGTGTAATTGTTTCCTGTTACAGCATCATAATCCACCGCCTCAGGAGGAACCCTGTACTTGCCAAACGATCAAGCCGCCCTTTTAAATTAATTGCCACCATCATCATCACATTTTTCCTGTGCTGGGCTCCCTTTCACATCATGAGTATAATTGAGTTGAAGAAATTTGATCCAAGCTACAAAAGCGAAACATTGAAGCATGTCATCGCCATCGGAATCCCAATCACCACAAGCCTGGCCTTTCTTAACAGCTGCCTGAACCCATTTTTGTACGTATTTATTGGCCACGACTTTAGGGATAAAGTCTGCACATCCATCCTGAAGGTGTTTGAGACTGTATTCCAGGAAGACGAGACCAACACTTATACAAAGTCCGTCACTTCCAGTGAAAGCAAGAGGTCCAACCACAGCAGTGCAGTGTAGAAGCAGTACGGAATTGTCTAGAGCAGTGTTCCCCAACCTTTTTTGAGCCACGGACCAGTTATATGTCAGACAATATTTTCACAGACCGGCCTTTAAAGTGTGGGGGGTAAATATGATTAAATAAAATGATCCGACTGGAATAAAATCAAATAAGAACAGCATAAAAATAAAACTGACCATTATGCTGAATTAGTGGGAGCCCTGAGCTTGTTTCTCCAAAACAAGCCGGTCCCATCTAGGCGTAACCGGATACAATGACACGAAGTGTGGTCCTGATGTCCAGTCTGCTCCGTAGCTTTGTTTTGGTCGCTCTAACCGCAGGAAATAGGATGTGTGTTAGGGTTTTATATAGGATAAGTCTTGATCTGAATTAACCTGTGTCAAGAGGCACAGATGCACCAACTGATGTAATTGGGAGAGAATACCCCAATTTTTTATATTTTTCTAAATAAAACATCACTCAGACTCTTATCGTCGATAAATTATATATATTTTTTTATTTCTGTGCGGCCCAGTACCAAATGACCCACGGACCGGTACCGGTCCGCGGCTCGGTGGTTGGGGACCGCTGGTCTAGAGGAAAGGAAAAGAAAAAGTAGGGATTATTTTATGCTTAGCATGATGTTTTCAGATTTGTTGAACACAACAGAGGATATATATATATATATATATTATATATATTTTATATATATAATATATAAAAAAATATATATATATTAGGGCTAAAACAATCGTATTAATTGTGATTAATCGATTATAGAAATATCCATCAACTAATTTAGTAATCAATTAATTGTTAACTTGAGACT